GTTTCAGATATCAGAGAAAGAGAGAGAGAGAGAGAAAATAACAACCAACTAGAAACAACTATATTGAATCACTTCTTTTTTTTTTGAAAATTTTAATGGCGACTCACGAAATGATGGTCTTAAAGATTGAACTCTGGGTTATTCCTTAGAAAAACTATTCAACGGTACTTATTTTATCAATACTCTTGATATTATCTACTGTAAAACGATAATAAAAAAGACTGGTAAACTATAAACAACATTTCATGTTGGGTTTTTTTTGAGACTAAAAACGTTTAGATCATTTCATTGGTGAAGACAATACTAATCATACACTTGTTTTCTGTTTCAAACAGTCTGCTATATTGTATAAATTGACCGGTCCTCAATTTTCTTGACTTCTATTATCACAGTTTTCTCCTTGAATCTGTTTGTATATTCCTCCACAAACCCAACTTAGCAAATTACAATATTTAATTAATTAGTATTTTAATTTTTGGGACAACAAACTTGTGTTAGTTTTGAATTAAAAGTAGTACGTTTTTGTAAATAAAAGAAAACGGTGGTAAAGTGAACGTCAGACGGCTATAAATAATACTTGAGTCGTTATAAATTTGAATTCGTTTAAGTTTTAAAATATCGTACATCTCGAATTACCTAACTAATAACTGACGGATTTCCAGATTTTAATGTGTTTGATTTCTATCTACTTTTTAACTATTATCCTTTATCTGTATGATAATAGTAATATTATGGTTGTTGACTTCTATTAGAAGTGTAGATGCAGTTGTTACTTTCCTCTTTCTTTTGTCGTGTAAATGTGCTTCTTTTTAAGTTACCCAAAAAGATAATTAAATTAGTAGTGATCTTAGCGGCGTGAAAGCGGATTCGTGGATTTCAAGGGACAGCTGCTTTTGGTTAGTCATATACCTCGTTTTTTGTGAGTTCTTGATGTTTCTACTACATACTTTAAAAACCTTATCTCTGACATCATAAATCCATGTGATAAGGTAGGGTGTGGTATTATTATGGCCGACCTTTTCTGACCCTCTCCTTTTGTAGTCAGAGAAGAAAACAGATGTTGGTTGTTTGAAAGGAACATTTTACTTCTATCATAACTCAGTACAATTTCGCCCTCGGACCATTAGTGCTACCGTTCTCCGTCCTACCTGCCTGTCATGTTAGGATCCAAAGGAGCGAATACTCCATTATAGCTTGACTGGATCATCGTGATCATCAAGCCAGACCACCGCATCCAGGTAGCAGGTATGATTGAAGCAATTTGTTTAAGTTATCTAATATATATATATATATCTTTAGTTAACTAGTTTTCTTTTTCCTGTTATTCTCCTCTACCCCATTGATTCACTTTAATTATCAGTTATTATAGCCAGTCATTACACAAATATCATTTTTGAACATAAATATTTACCTATTGTAGTTTTAAATAATAATGGGAAGGGGTAGAGCGAAACAAGCGCAAGTTGACATGGCTAAGTGGAATGTAACTGCAGCATTTGCATATAGATATGTCAAATAATTAAATGATTTATCAGTCTCATTTTCATTTGTGTATATATACATGTATATGTAGATAAAATGGTCTTTGGACTGATTGTCGCCTGTTCTTTCGTCCATAATTACACTTTACTTAAACCATGCGACTTTATATGTTGTTTCAATATCCGGTAGTCGTTTTTTACTGAGTGTTGCCTTTATTGTATTGTCATTTGCCTTATAGTTGACACTACATTATAGTGTGATTCGGCTATTGACAATTGACATTTGTTATTTCTTATCTCTTTTTCTTATTCTAGTCTGTGTTTATCACTAATTTGTTTCAATTCGATCCACTCTATGATCATGATCGCGTTCAAAACAAATATAAAGTTTTTCATGTCAAACATCTATTGTTTTTTGTTTCATATGTACTTGTCTATCCTAGAACTCAGGTTGTTGGTTTTTTATTGACTAGATTGACGAGAAGTCAATCATATATTCGTAATATACTTTCAAAATGTTACTGAATTTTCTTCTTGTAAAAGTATAATGCAGGGACAGCGTCGATAGATTAAATTGATTTTAATGTGTTTGTTGATTGACCTGAGTGCCAAGCATCTAAAAATATTCTGGTGTTTTTAGAATTGCCTCTATCCAAGATCTCAACATTTTTCCAGTCGAATGTGTGTCCACAGTTGTCCATATGCATTGATATAAGCGAAGATTATGTCATGGCGTTTGACGGGTAATTGATGTTCGTGTAGATGAAGATGAAGAGGGCATGTACTTTGTCCGATTTAGTGTTTTTTGCAGTTAGAGCAATTTATTTGGTAGATAATGTTCGCTTTTTTATTTTGTCATTTTGTCTTTGGCTTGCTTGTAAAATCACGTTGATCAATCCTAACCTTAAATCTCTAATTTTTACCCTGATTACACAATCCTAACTTAAAAACAATGTGAGGACTTTAGAAATCTTTGATAAATGGATAATTGAGATCCCTATAAGGACGTGGTTTTGTTGTCGTTTTCCGATTTAATGACAGGTTAACCTGTGTTGAAGAATTCAATATCCTTATTAAATATGTACACCCCTTTTTACACTTGCTAATATTATTGTTCTCTTTCCCATAAACTATCTACTTAAATTGTTTTGTGATTGACTAAGAACTAGATGAAAATTTGTCATAGTTGTTTTAAGTTCGTTTTTTATTTACTACAATTTTTAATTGAATAGGTGTTACGTCCTTAATCTAATAATATACAGTAGAGAACTTGTGTCGATCTGGACTAAGGCCTTGACACGATAAGATAACTGGCTTAACCTTAAGGCTAAAACGCGTGGCTCCGAATCGCGACTGTCTTGGGTAGAGAGACGAAAACTATTCTGTCACCTGATTGGTTGACAAGTGAGAGAGAAAAAAGTCGAGTCAACTGGAATACTACTCAACTTATTCCCAATTCAGATTCAAACTAGTGCAAAAAAGATACATGAATAAATAGATGACTAACATGACCACAACGCACAAACAATTAGAGAAATACAATTATACCCAAACTGGGCATTGGGGTAGGAAAATAGAGTACCGAAGGTTACGTCTAAATTACAATATCTTTGGAACAGAAAAGGGTATGGCAGTGAATCATACATCAAACGAAGTCTTATGGTTTATAGAATTAACTATGAACAAAACTAAGTGTTAGTATATTACAAACTTTAAATTAAGTGAAATAAAGTCCTCAAAAGACAGCTTCCTTTGTTTGTCATAGCTTCTTTGTTTCTCTGTTCACATCAATAGGAGACTTCTATTGTCCCCCAACCGCCTTCACATTGTTTGTTAAACTCCTTTTCCAGTAATAGTCGGTTGGTTTCCTAAGACTCAATATCTAAGTATGCTTTTTTTGGCGAAGTCATTTTTATATCTTTAAATATTTATCCACTAGTTATTTTACCAATATGCGATATTTTTCCCCTATACTCATGGAACCGTTCATTTATCAACATATTTGTGTTCTCATTTTTAACCTTTCATGATGTCTGTTAGTTTTCACAGTTGTTAGTTGCTTCAAAATGAAATATGTATGTTTCGCTTCAGTTGTTAGAGTCATCAATGAACAGAAACGTTTCAAGGTATAATTTCAGTACTACTACTATGCTTTCATCAAATTCGCTGTTTTTTTTTCATCCCCTTTACTCATAAGCAATGCAGAATCTGGCATGCATGCTTATTGGTTCAAGTTGCCATATCATATCACTACAGTCAAGACGAATCCCATAGTAGTAGCAGTATTAAGAGTATCAGTTGGAGTAGAAAAAATTAAGTATAGACAATATAACTTGACAAGAAAGACCAAGTTCATTGAATAGGAAAGTATGAGATAATTTTTAAATTCAAAGTAAATACATCTGGATCATTCTGACCGTTCCTAATATGAACAAAAAAATCCCAGAATCAATATTAAATAATTTTATAGTAATTGGCTCTATATAGCCCAACAGTATCCTGGTTAGTTACATCCCAGTTACAGTAGTTCAAATAAATCCAATAGACAGTACAACAGCAAACTTTCACGTGTGAAAACAGCGGGAATTTATAAATATTAACTTTTATAAAAGTTATTTTATGTTACAACTGTTGAATTTTGAGGCTAAATATGTTGATACTTCTATAGTAGTCGGTTTACCGAAATCAAGTTGCATAACCATGATAAAGTAACAGTTGAAACAGTGTGTGGTTTACATGGCTTATATATATATATATATATATATATATATATATATATATATATATATATATATATTAGTAACCGTTTTCTGTTTAACCTAGTAACGTTTGTTTTTCTCCTTACAGTAAATAAACAAAATAGTTTTCAATGTTTACAATAAAATAATATTCGTTTTTATTCATTATTACAGTATTTATAATATCTAGAATGAATATTAAACACTGTAATACTATCTTAATAAATTGGTATAAATATCACGTTCTCAGTCGTAAACAGGATAGTCTCTAAGGTCTTATTTTTCAATCAGTAAATCAATTAATGTATACACATTGTTCCAGTTACTTAGTTTTAGGTGTTAGCCTTACGTAAGAATGAAAAGAAACTCAAAATCAACCATATTTTATTCTCATTCTGATCAATTTATGTTGTCTTTTAAATTAACTTGATATAATTGATATATATATTACTACTCTATTACGGGATGATATTAAAAAAAAATTAGAGTATGTTAACGTATTTGGTTTCATTTGTAGTTTTTCCTCTCAAAAAATAACTATCTTCAAGACTGCCCAGCTTACGTTTCTATCACTTTTTTATATTTGATCTTTCGAAGTAGATGTTCTTTGTTTCATAAATGATAGATAATTAGTGAAGTATTGTTTAGTTGTATGTAGAAGAACTATCCCTGACTTGATGGGATCATTTAATGTTTCTTCACACGCATGGTTTATTGGTTACATAATCATTGTGTGTTTCATAAAACTCTGCTTTCTAACTAAATGTTTACTGCAATTTAGGATTCGAATGCTACAACTGGCGTTATTTCTACACCAAGTAATAACACTTCGACATCAACAACATTTAGTAACTCAAATAATGATCTACCAACTCCTAGTTCTCCTGTTCGTTCACATTCTGTCATAACAAACGCGTTTCAAGGTCAGAATTCTTCCACAAATACTAGTTCATCCATTGTACCTGGTTATGCTACATTGTAAGTAACGTGAGAGGTATTATTATACGTTATTTCTTTTTGAAGTGGTTATATTTTTGTACATTTTGTTACTAGAGAATTTAAAATAATCCTAACATATGTCTGGTCGCCTTGGTTTTTATTAAGTCAATAAATATCCGTCGACAAAGATACTAAAAACCTAAAAAGAAAGCTGAAAACCTTTTAGCCAATCATCATCGAATAGATACTTTTCATAAACATCTAGAAAACTGAAGGATTAAGTGTCACAATTTATTTGGTTGATTACTCGTGGTTTTCATATATATGGTATGTTTTCAGAAGTTTCTAGCATACCAAGGTCATCCGTGAACCTATGAATGATCCCGTTTTTCTGAACATAGATTAACCTTAGAATATACTTTTTAATTATATTGCATGCCTTTTCTTTGTTTGGTTTAGTTTTTCTAGTTTAGAAGTAAGCCGGAAATATAGGAAATGTCTAGGACGTCATTAACAAGCGTCCAAATAAGAAAAATTATCAAATTTATTCACAGTTAAGATGTTTTCTCCTCTCTACTCATTTCAATGTTCCCCAATAAAAGTTATGAGTCGGAAGGCAGTGATCTGCATCTATTTACATAGCTCAGACTTTGTGGACGAATACCACTTTTTAGTTTGACTGGCCCTTGTTTTCTTCCAACCTACTTCTGCAACAGTGAACATCGTTTGGCAATGTCTACAGGGATCGGACATGTGTAAAACACATCCCTATCATCTCAGTTGATGAAAATTTGCCATCTTTACCTGGTACTCTACGCTTAACCGCAAGATTGCTTACTTTTTGACCTCAACATACTCAATCACCCACAAAGTTTAATAGCAACATTTACAATTACTCTACCCGAGTGATTCGATTTCAACTCTTGAAATGACATAAATTTCAAGTGGATTTATAAGACATTGCCTTCTGATAGTGAAGATTTGTAACTTGTTGGTAGTGTTGCTTTTTGTGAATTGAATGATTCACTTATTATCACATAGTAATAAAATTAATTAGATTAAGGGGATTTCCAAAATTTTGAATTAAGGAAATTTTAAACACCAGAGAATTTATAAAAATATCTTGACTTATCTGCAATCAGTAGGTTCATCAATATAAATCCAATATATCCAATCATACAGAATAATAGTTCAGTCAACCATAATATATTCAATGGTGGTCAATCGAATAAAGCAGTCAACATAAACACAGAAGTGTATCAAAACAACCATACATACGATAACAATTTACCAATAAGTTTATGTAATCAAAATTATATGTTGCGCTTGTAAAATAATTTTGAAATTCCATCCTTACTTTAAGTGTAGATGACAATGTTGTTCAGAATGACAATAATTATATTAATGCTGACTAGTTTTGGAGACTGATGGCAGAAAGTTAGAAGCGGTCAAACCAAAACGTGGCAGTAATCTTTGAAGTCACACACTTCTGGTCTGAACCATGTTGGTAGATGCAGACTAATTGGTTTGGGTCCTCGTGACTATCGTAACCAATCTTTGAAGACTTTGTATGACATAACTCAGATTCGATCACAAAGATGTAGGTATATACACTTTTCGTTTTCCCTTAAAGCGTGAAATTACTTCATACCTTTCTTTCTACGAACTCGTTCTTTCTTCCTGTATTATATCCTTATACACAATCTTTCTTTTATATATTGCTACCATTGAAATAACTACGTCTATGGATTTGATGTTGATCTTGTTGTGCTAATGAGGTATGGCAACATTGACTAGTGCATATATGTACCTGGTTCTAAGTTGTAGCAAACTGACTGATAGTCATTTCAGGAAGCACAATATTACTCAATTCTTATTGCTGACAATTACTAGTTTTTGTACAAAATATTCTTAAAAAGTCAACAATTGTATTATACATATATTATGTTTATTCAAATACCTATTTGTTTGAAATAAAAGTATAAATTTTCATCTTCACACACCAGTTTTGTTTCAAATAAATAATAATTATTATAAATTTACTATATCTAGACGAAAAGTTTCCAGTCCATCTTTGGATTCAACAACAATTAATTCTCTATCCAACTCTTGTTCAACTAATAATTCCAATAGTGGGAGTACAACAGTAAATCGAGCTGATTTAGAAGCATTTAAGCGTGAATTAATATCGGAATTTCGTCGAGAAGTTCAACAATTAAAAAATGACGTAATCGAAGGTGATCTTGACTTTTTTTTGAGTGATGTATAGGTTACATTTAATTACTATTTGAGAATATATATTTTTGATTGATTAATATCTTTGAAAACAATAGCTAATTAGCGTTTATTTATTATTTGATAGAAATGCTTTACCATTAAGTACAATATCAAGTTAGTGTATATAAAGTTTGTCTAGTTATTTACTCAATTATCATTCACTAGTCTTCATCGCTGATACATATGATAACGCTAATTTTATACACCTTGTCAATAGTCAGTTGTAGAGGTAATCATCAAAAAGAATCCGTGACTAATTTAGTTCCGACATATCGGGTATGAGACAAGCATCCACCACAAGTAATGCAAGAAGATCACTCAGTATCGCCAAATGGTTGAAATCAAAACATGGGTCGTGGCTAACTCACCAGCACGAGGGTCTTGGGTTTGATCTCCTTTGAAGTCGTGGATGTGCACTGTTCAGAGGAAATTACTGTACAATGCTTTCCGGTTTCCAATAATGGTCTAAATAAGATCAATGTGTGATATATTCCATGAAACTTCCCTATACGTTAAAATTGTACATAATTGCCATTCATCTGATCATTGGTTTTACGTATTTCTATTCTCTTTTCGTTTTTCTTTTAGCTCTTCGTGCATCTTCTGTTCGAAATTGTTAGTTGAACTATAATGAACCACTGATTGATGATCATCTTCAACATCTTCATAGATTAAATGAAATGTTTGTTCGCTTACCTTACTTCTTTCTCTTGTTGTTTTGTTTTCTACACTTTGACTGTCCTTTCTGCATATTTAATCAAAGAATAAAGAATATTATTAATACAAATAAACAATGCTCACCTAACATTCCATAATGTTGATAATATATAGTCTGTTGAAATTGTTCTTTGGTGTAAATCATCTTAATGTTCTGTTTATTTATATGGACGCATTATATTATTATTATTTGTATCAGTCAACATATTGTGCTTCTGCTAAAACGTCATTTTGGTAATGATAGACAAAGTTGATTTGGTATTGTTGTTGCCCTGATTTCTGGGCTACGTACATTTGTGTGTGTGTGTGTGTGTGTAAGTCTGTGAGTATATCTGTTCAACTTCCTTACATACAAACGACGCACTACCCCTATTGGTACAATTTACTCTGATATATGCATTTCATTGTTATCCTGTAGTTGTTGCTCTCGTTTTTTCCCCATTTCGTATTGTATAATGCAGAATTGTTTGCTTAACTTTTCTCTGTCTCTGTTGATTCCACCTAATAATGGTATGTTTTCTACGATGCTAATAATGATTATAACAACATTTTAAGAAAGGATCTGTTAAGATAGTTAAGAATTATTCATTTAAAAACCTGATTTACACTTTGTTTGTTCTTTATTTGACTTCATTTAAGTCAATGTTTACATTTTATTCTCTATCTATTCGTCAATTTCTTTCTTTTATTATAAAAGTTGCCTAAACTCATATATATTGTTGTTTTGTGATCTATGCTCACACTAACCTTCAGTCACATTTTGTGTATTTTCACTTACTAGGTTTTCATCATTTGTAATGTAATTAAGTAAATCAGTACTTTTTATAAATGTTTCTATGTATAAATCTGCACTTGGTATGTGCACATGTGCTTTTGTAATGTTTCCGTTTGAATGAGACAACAGATGAAATATTTTTGCTGAGTTCTTCTTTCATTTTGTTATTGGCTTCTCTCTCTTTTTGTTTATGGTATTTCAGATAGTTGGATAATAGACAACAAACTGTTCATTTCATTATATTTACTTCAAACTAGAAGCATTTCATTTATCTCTCTTATTCTCTATGCATCATCTTTAGTGATTCTTATCTTTATGATTGTTGAAGACCGGTTTACAGATATACAGTATAGTATTAACTGCCATCATAGTCAATGCTTATCATCATTATTATATTTAATACTTTTCGTAAAACAAAAAAAACATTGCGTTTATTACAGCTTACGATTGTTAATTTGTTACGAAAACTGAATACTTTTTTTTCTAGGTTGTTCTTCCTATCATCATAAATCATCCATTTGATATACGATTTAGTGTGTTTGTGTGTATATGTGAATTATTTATTCTAAAACTTTATCATAATAACATCGCTATAATTACCATAGTTCACTACAGTGTTCTATGTTTTTGCTTTTACTTTTTGATGAGTACCTCCCAACTCTTTCTTTTCTTCTTCTTATCTGAATATTATTATTTTCTATAAAAGTAAAACTATATTGCATTTCATTACAATTTTATGGCGTAACCACATATTCTGATGAGATTCCTCTTTATCTCTATTAAAATATGTAGAACTCTTTGTTACTTATCATTGTTGCTAACATCGGTATTATTTTATCGTTTACTACTTCATATATATATATCATTATTCTACTGGTGGATTTTCATTGTTTGTTTTTAAAAAAAAACTATATTCCTAACATCATATAGAATGATACATCAACTCGTGTTCTTTTTTTCTTCTTTTTTCATTTGAATAAACGGAGTTGTAACAACAGAACTCATTGTGCTGTTTAAAAGGATTTTAACTGAAGAAAATTAGGAGACGATGACTAGTAAATGTATTTGTTCACAGTAAAACAAGTTCATATTATGATTACTCCTTCTTATATGTAGTTCCTCGATAAATACATAATAGTATTTCATGGACTCAATGGTCTATATTTCGGCAAAGTATGGATTGTGTTTTATCAATTATATCATGAATTTACCTGTCTTAAAGATTTCATTGATTATTCAAACATAAAACTGTCCGATTTACTTTATGTACAGTAGGATGATAATTATAATTTCCATTAGTAAAAACGTAATCAACTTCGACGTCTCACAACTTTCACGCTACCCTATGGAGTTCAGCCGGTATAAATCATGCAATGGTGTTTCACTGAACAGCTTTAGTGTTGTCTATACACATTTGTTCGACTTCAGAGAGCGTTCATTTTATGAACCTACATTTGCCTTAAACTGGACAAAGAGTGTAGTAACTTAAATACTAACATATCCACGGAGGTTTTTTCGTAGATAGTGTTATAACCCTGGAAGGTGATTTTTGATAAGTGAACACTTCAATTCACATGACATAGAAGAAGACAAAGATCAGTGTCATGAGGATTTTATACACCCTCCAAAAAAATAGGACAAATGATTTAACCAAGTACCTCCATTTATATACTGATTTTACTAACATTTTAATTATTAGGTAACAAATTTGAGCGGACCATCATGAATTCATTTTATTTCGTTTCGTTCTAATCAGCTACTTACAACCTCTGACATTTGAAAATCACTATTACAAAATGAGTTCACAATGCGTAGGTAAAGAAATTTAGTTGGAAGTTACTATGATCACACAGTGTACCATATTAAGGATGTAAATAATTTAGACTAAAATATTGTAGATATTTATGTTATAACGGTTGGGTTTTCCACGTTTACGTAGACGTAAATTTACCTTAGATGAATATCTACACCAGATTCGCTCCCAGTGTCTATTCTACAGGACTTCAACACTACTCAGATCAAGAACGTGATTAGCCTGATCAGAACGTAAATACATTTCCACACCAAAACCCGACACAATCCAACAACAATGAGCAATAGATAATAATAATTTCAAGGATAGGGGAATATATAACTCAGCTGACACCTGTCAGACTATCTATATGTCTGACTAAGCAAACAACCAATCATTATCATCCTCGCCCACATATCAATAAATCTTATGTTTAAGAACGTTACTCAACACAGATGATAACTAAAGAGCCAGAAACAACGAGTTACGTTACGTAACAGATAAACCCTGATAATAAGAATGAATAAAATCAGCCAGTTAAAATATGATTGCTAATCTAGAAGACAGTGCAAATGAAAAGACGTAATAATTTGGTCATTTAAAAGAATGATTTGAACAAAATTCTTCACGAGAATAAAAGGAGCTGTGTATGAAATACCTCATGTTCGAAATACAGGAAACGTATGGCGAGATTGTACATTGAATTAGTGTGAAACCCGTGCTGCATTTTATACTGATCGAAATCCATACCAAATTAGTCTGAAGAATACTACATTGCACAAATGTCACTCTGAAGTTAAATGGATGTTATGCCAGATAATTATGACGCTGAATTAAAACGTGGTCACGTAGTTGTAGGCCGTTTTTCAAAAATGGTTTTCTATCGACCATTATAATACTGTCCATGATAGATAAATAGTTTAATCTTTACGGAAATAATACTATAACAAATTCAAGTTCTTTAATAAGACGGTCTCATATGTCGCTATGCATTGTTAATTTGTTATCGGCTCAACATATTTTATAGTTGTAACCATATTCTGTTAAATTGTAAGAGGAACCTTTGACACATAGCAAGATTCATTGTAAAAAAGCTAGAGAACTGTTGAAAACGAAGTAACACTGTATATCTGTTCAATTCTGTTTTGGAATTCATCTGCTATGTAGATCAGCTATCCATACAGGACTGAACCCAACCTAAAACATGATACCTATCTAGTCAACTATGCTATGCATGAAATAATAACCACAACATACCATAAGTTGACTGAAGTTGGTCAGTGATGCTGTCCATAATTGTCTAAAACCAACATGATTATTACAGGACTTAATGAAATCGACCTCAATCCCACATAGTTGTATAAGTTCGCGCTTATTTTTTAAAGAGTCCTGAATCCGTATGTTGAATTTTTTCTGATATTTCGTAACTCTCAATCTAATATCATTTCGTATGGAAATTTATTTTCAATTCATTACCTATTTATCATATAGTTGATTAACGATTCACATGACTTTCAGTGGTATTTTGTCTAACTTTTCTACACTATTATTCATTCATTCATTCATTCATTCTGTCGTGCTTTTTTTTCGCGGAAAACATATCTACTTAAAAATGAACGAACAAAAATGGTTCTAGACTTATTTCCTTATCTGATTATTTCAGTATGGTAAAACAAAAAAAAACAAATCCAAAGTTTGAAATGTCATTTTTTCCAATATAAACAAGTATTTTGATAAGCAATAAAATAAGCTTAAATACCTTGTTGTTGGTTGATTTGGTTTGGTTAAAAAAAAAACTTGAAAATTAGGTTTAATTTAGTGATACTTTAAAGAATACGGTAATGTTAGTTTCTAAGTTACTTCATTGTAACCAATCTGTCAGATATTTTGATTAATAATCAAGTTAATGTCAGTTTCTTGTTTGCTTGTTTTTTTCTAAAAAAGAAATGTCATCTAACGTTGAAATAAAACGGGAAGAGTTCGTCCATTAGTTAGTGTGATTATGTACATTTAGCTACAGGCTTTTTATTCGTATGATGGTTAAATATTATACTCTGTCATTTAAGTGAAATTTAAACGCAGTTAATCGACTGATAATAAATGATAAGAAGTTCAATATTAAGAACATGTGTACAATCACAAATGTAATAAATATTACAGTCACATAACATACCAGGGTAAAAGCAACAAGACAAAAGTTGATGACCTGCTTGAACATTTGGCCTACATGTTCCTGCTATGTAGATATTTCAACAAGTTATCTATTTTTATGCATTTCTGAAAAGTGTAAAACTTTTCGTTGTACAAGTTACAAAAGGCGCAATTAGAGATGTCGTAGTTGCTGGCAATATGCAGCTAAAAGAATGTACATTATTTCGTTGGACTTGACGGTTAACATCTAACAGGCGATCACTCAATATTTATCGTCATTATCGACCAAGAAGTAAGAAACGGAAACTTGTTAAAATACTTTGTGCTGAGAATTCTATATTGTACTAGAAATATAATACTGAATAAAGCTAATAATAATAATAAATAGTGCTTGCGCACAAGACTGATATGTCCTGGGTTCAAATCTGGCGAGGCGGGATGGTGAATGTACACTGCTGAGGAGCCCCATTCTAGGACAAAACGGCCGTCTAGTGCTTCCAGGTCTTCCATATTGGTCTAGCTTCAATTTACTCATAGTCTCAACTATTGAAATAGATTGAAAGGAATATATTTCTTCGCTCTAATTGTATTTCTTTCTAAATATGTAAATATGGATTTTCGCCTTACGAAATGCAAATATCAATCTGGTATTATAATACAGCAGTAGCTTAATGATTGAACTTCACTTCTGACTAGTGAATCATAAGTTCAAACCCCACCCAATTTCGGTTAGGATAACCAAGATAGTATCACTAATCCTTGTAAACAATATGGCTCAAAATTGAATACATAAACTCGTATTTAGTAAAACATTTAGTTTAGTTCATTAACACTATGAGTTTTATAGCTTATTCAATATGTGTAGGTTTAGTCATTTAGAACGTTATATATATTCTATAAGCCAAGGCTATCTGAACACAATTGGCCTAGTAACCAATTTGTTAACCTTAGGTAAATGTTATTTCCATTAAAACTTCTGAAATATACTTTCCATTAAAATCATGATAAACTGATAGTATTTAATGTGTATTGTTTGTGTATACTGTAAATTTACATTTTCTTTTTATGGAAAGTATTTGACATTAGAAATGGTCAGAAAAAATAATGTTGTACTCAATTTATCATTAATAAATTAAAATAAACAAAGAAAATCAGTTCAAGAATCCGCTTTTCTGAATTTTTGTTTCAATATTAACAGTTTCTGTATTTCATCACTGATAGTCAACTACCTAATCAATAAGTTAAATCTTGTATGATGTTGAGATTATTGACGGTGTTCAACAGTAATAAAGTATATTTTTTACAGTTACTGGATTATAATCAGAGAGGGGTATTATGTATATTATAGTAATTTAATAGTTGAACTCAGTGGAGTTCAACTGAGTCTGTTGTGAGATAGTAACTCACTGAAGAAAATGGTAGACGGTGGCATAATTTCGTGGATTGGTTGAAGTTAGACATCAACACGATTGGATGCCGGCTCAGAGGTCTAGAGGTTAAGCGTTCGCGCGTGAGACCTATAGATCCTGGGTTCGAGTCTCGCGTTGCGGGATCGTGGATGAGCACTGCTGAACGGCCATCCAGTGCTTCCAGGTTTTCCATGATGGTCTACATTCAATTGAATCATGAATTCAACTATTAAGTTACTGTATTAGTTTATTTTCTCCAATGTATGTTCAACCAGTTGCCTGTTGGTTTTTGATTTACAAATCAATATTGGAAATTAGAAATCATTATTAATGATGTGTATGTAATTCTTTATGTTTGTGTCTACTATAAAACAGTAAAGTTAATCTTTAAAAAAAAGAGTTAATTTGTCTAAATTTCATGTCATTATTAAACAATTAAAACATTTAAAAGTTAATTATCGTATATTTTGTAGATGGATACAAGGTTAATGGTGTAAATGTGATTGAAAATTTTGTTAAGTAGAAGTTTTTAAAGTCTAAATATTTATATGTTTAAAGCAATTAACCTCGTTTATTAATTCCGATAGAGCAATTAGAAGACTTAGTTGATCAAGCCTAGGATAATGGGACAATTTCTTATTCTTTCTATATAATGTAGAATGTTTCTCTCTCCATTGTTTCCTTTTTTACTTGAACTTTCACTCAATTGACCTTTATTAATTTTCATATAATATAAAGCCCTGATAAGTATATGCGTGACCAGATTGTTCGAAATGTATAGCGCAAGTACATCATATTTTTCTGATTAACTCTGACTTCTAATTGCTCTATCGAAATTCATGTGTTTATCAAATATAGATAAATAC